ACACACACACACACACACACACACACACACACACACACACACACACACATCAATACGATTAAGATCTTTTAGGAGCCATGCATGGTGTATATATTATAATGGCTTTATCGCCACCTTCAAAACTGTGAATTCATTCAAAAGATAGGACCTAGTGAAACATGACATTACCGTGACCTACAGGCATCATATTATTAGTATATTAAATATCTAACGCTCAAGAGGTGTCCATAGGTTCTTTGTTAGTCGTTTGAGCAAGATGAAGAGCCTTGATCCCCTAACAATTTAAATTCAAGACTGTCCTGATAAGGATTTGAACCAGATTCATCCAAACCAAAGCCAAACATGATACATGAACATGTACCACCAGAGCAAAATACGAATTCAAAGACTAACTTCTGAAAGGCAGAATAAAAGTATTGTCCTTGAATAAAAGATGTGTCAGCGGCAAAGTTGAGGATAACAAACTTTTACGTAATTGTTTTTGCATTCGTCTGCTTCCGTAATCGAAAGCTACTTAAAACCTTGAAATTATTCAACAGACAGTATATTACAGGTATAGCCAAAACAACTTTCCCCCGGCATTAAGAGAACCGACGTAAGAATTTATTGCCTTGCAATGTATGTGCTTAACGCCTCTTTCCAAGCCGTTATGCCGTTATTTAAGAGACGGGGGGACCTCTGGATCAGCATCCGTTTCCGACAGGACCGTCTTTTGTGAGCGCAGAGTCAGGAAAACTCCTCAAAACACAGTCGTATAATAATAAGATCTACTGGCCTGACATTGCTCATCTTAATCATAGCAATTTATTTTTTTCCTTCTTTTTTTTTCTCACTGACGCCAGGTTGTTTTCCGTGAGGGGAAATTTTTCAACCAAAAAAAAAAATTAATTGCGTATCATTGTCAGAGCTCCTTTTTCCTTTTGGTCTCTGTCTCTCTCTTTCTTTCTCTTTCTGCCTCTCTGTTTCTCTTTCTCTTTCTGTCTCTCTCTCCCTCTCTGGCTCTCACGGTTGTTGTTGTTTTTTCGTTTTTTCTCCACCTTGTGTCTCTTGCTTTCTCTCCCCTATTCTCCTTCTCACTCACACACACACATAAATACACACACCTGTCTCTAAGTGTGTATCTCTTTTATCAATCTATCTTTCTCTTCTCAGTTCCCCATCACCTCACCTTTCTCTCCATTTCCCCTGATTACCCTTCTCTGGGTCTCTCTCATTCTTTCTCCTCCCTCCACTTTGTCTCCCACTGTTTGTGTGTGTGTGTGTGTGTGTGTGTGTGTGTGTGTGTGTGTGTGTGTGTATGTGTGCGTGTCTGCGTGTATGTGTTTCCCTCTCCCCCTCCCTCCCTCTCCCTTCTTCTCTTCTCTCTATCTCCCTCCTTTCTATTCCCCTTTATTTCCTTAA